GAAAAGAAACAGAGAAAACCGAGTTTGGTTCGCAAACCGAGACAAGGCACAGAAGAGGGTTCGGAAATTCGGAGGCAGGGCTCACGACCGTGACTCTGAGACTTCTGAACGAGCATAATATGCAGTATCACCGAGCGCTCAACTGGTGACGTCTGAATAAATGGTGTCCTCAACATGAAGTGGCATATGGAGGTCCCAAACCATGAAAGGACCTAAATGAAACATGAAGAATGGACCAAAATAAGCACTTTTTCAGAACTGTAAAATGGCCAAAAACAAAAGCATGATAGGCTAACTAAACATGCAAGAATGGGGAATAAAAGGGAGATATAACATGAAGTGACCTATGGAGGTCCCAAACCATGAAAGGACCTAAATGAAACATGAAGAATGGACCAAAATAAGCACTTTTTCAGAACTGTAAAATGGCCAAAAACAAAAGCATGATAGGCTAACTAAACATGCAAGAATGGGGAATAAAAGGGAGATATAACATGAAGTGACCTATGGAGGTCCCAAACCATGAAAGGACCTAAATGAAACATGAAGAATGGACCAAAATAAGCACTTTTTCAGAACTGTAAAATGGCCAAAAACAAAAGCATGGTAGGCTGCCATTGCATGCAAAAATGGGACCAAAAGGGGAGTATAAAGGTAAGTACAACATGGAAGTCCCAAATGGTGTTGAGCCCTTCTTCAATGTTGAATAGGGGCTCAAAATAAGCCTAATATCAGTTTACAACATGCTCAAAAACAGATTACTCATGGGCCAAAAATATCATGCAAGATTATGACATATAAGAGGATCAATGAAGCAAGTGCATCATGGAGGGCTCAAACAGGGTTCAGCCCTCAATGAAAAGTGAAAATGAGCTCAAAAGAGAGCCACTTTCAGTTAGGGCCGGAGCTTGAAACAAAAAGCATATAGGGCTTACAAATGGATCAAGAAAAAGGGTCAAAATAGGAGAAATGTTACTCACCCTTGAAGACTAAATCTTTTGTTGCTTCTTGGACCAATTTGCAGCTCCTTTAACCTTTGAGAAGCCCTCCTTGTTGCTGGAAATGAAGTGGTGATGGTAGAGCTTGGTGGTGATGAAGAAAACAAAGTGTAGGACTTAAGGTTTTTTAGGAAAATGAGAAGGATGGAGGGAGATATGGATCTTGAGGCTTGAAGAACAATTTTTCTAACCCCTCAATGTGATATAGCTTGCTGGTTATAAGGGCCAAAAAGGGGGTGTAAAGGTGGGGGAAAAGGAGGCCAACTTTCCCCCACAAAATATCCCCCGGATATTGATATTTTCTGGGGGATAAAGCTATACAGCTGTAAAGTGAACAGTGTGAAGATTATGGCCGGCCAGTTATTTTTGCTGCAGGTGGCCGGCCGGCCACCCCCCCTAGCCGGCCGGCTAGGGGTCAAAAGGGTCAAGCTGATTTAGTGGCCGGCCACCACATGATGGTGTCCTCCCATGTGTGTACATCACAAATATGTGGTTCAAAGTTCAAGAAAATGGGCCCAAGGTGTTCAACATTAGCCCGGAAGTGTGAAAAACGGGCGCCGGAGGGCGTCGGAGGATGTATAACTGGTTGCTGCAACAATTGCTGGCCTCCCACCCTTCAGTGACCTCCCCGGTGATAAAACAGAGGTACCTGCCAAAAATGAACGAAAACCGTTGCAAAACGAATGTTCGGGGGCCAAAACGCGCAGTTCGGGGTCCCAAAAATGGGCTGTTAAGCACCGAAAGTGGCATTCGACCACGAAGTGGGTTTCTCAGACCCCAGTGTCCCTCAAAAGGGAGAAAATAAGATGTATGCCAAAAATTAGAGCAAATGGAGATGGTTAAGCGGTCCCGAACCGAGGCACATTGCCAACGGTTCCGAAAAACCGGAAACCGGACTCCGAAATGGGCAAAATGGCCTATGGCCACAAAATGTAGCCCACGGCCACTGAGAGATGGTCTGTGGGACCTCTCCCTCCCCTCAGGAAAAGAAACAAAGAAAATCGAGCCTGGTTCGCAAACCGAGGCAAAGCACAAAAGAGGGTTCGGAAGTCCGGAGGCAGGGCTCACGGCCGCAACTCTGAAACTTCTGAACGAGCACATTATGCAGCATCACCAAGCGCTCAATCAGTGACGTCTGAGTCTTAAGGTCGGTCAAAAATGGGGTGTCTACACATATGTCATGTGAAAATGAAGTCCTTCCTACTAGAGCTTCTCTCATTTGCCCCTACACATGTCAGATGTGGAAATAAAATCCTTCCTAGTAGAGATTTTCTCATTTGTCTCCACAAAGAACATAACTTTCCTATCAAAATTGAAGGTGGAAAGATAAAATTACATTTTTTTTATTATAAAAAGTACCATATTTTTATTATAAAATTCTCCAGAAGTCATGTGCATGTAATTAGAAATTAGGTTACTAGCTTTCTGATCACTTATTATGGTCCAAAAGTCACAGCTATTAACAATAGGGAGGAGGAAGCACCAAATATTCTAGCTAATTTATCAAAAAATAAATAAATCTTCTAGATGATATCCTCTACAACAATGATTGAGACCCCCAATTTTACGAACCCTCACAACCCCCAAAGTGATCTCAACCATACATGAGTGGGCTCCACACATACATCAATGGTTGAGATCTGTTTGAAAGTTGTGGGGATCCCCAAAATTGGAGGTCCCAAACATTTTTCTATCCTCTATCATGTTGTGCTACATTCCTTTACTGTTTATAAATAATATCTTCTCATCCAGAAGAACTTGCCTTCTTATTTTGAGATAAGCCATTCACTTATTTGCACAGGCTACTACAGTTGGTGATAATGCAACACTCCTAGAATAGCTATCAATTGCTTCTTTAAACTTCTATTTAAAGTACTCATTACCCTGTAAATTAATAAGAATCCATGTCAATATCAATTTTATATATTTCTACAATAACATCATAAATCATAAATCATAAATAAATGAACTCCAGTAGAACAAATCATATCAACTCCTTCTCTGATGCAATATCAGGATAGCTCTCTTCTGTCATGAAACCATTTGATAAATTCCTAATTGAATCATAATTTCACAAGTGAACCTCCACTTGTAAATGTGTTCTTTGGTCACAAATAAGTTGACTCACATTGTTCACATAACATCCATATGTCAAAAGCTTTAGGAAAATAAACCGTATCAATTTACAAAAACAAAAAAAACCTATAAAAAAAAGGCGAAACATGTTGCCAAGATAAGATCCATAAGCACATAGTACATTATTAGAGAAACAATTAACATTTACAATCTCAAATGCAACATTTAAATTGATCCTTAATAATTATTAGGAACCAACAGTAGCACCATGAATATATTATTTATTTTAATACAACAATGCATATTTGGAAATTCTAAAGATTAAAGGCAGCAACTTGAAATCATCAAAATATGAAATAGAGTAGATGATCTTCAATTCATACCTGGATCAAGAGGTGATAATCTTCTTTGAAATAGCATAGCATATCCTTGGGAGATAAACTTCTTAGCTGCTACCAAGAGAGGGTTTATGACAAATTGTTAGCAAGTATTCCTCCATATAAAATCTTGAAGCACTATGCTTTCTAACAAAAATTAAAGCTATACCCACAAAACATGAGTACGTTATTTTGTATGCTCTACTCTGGTTCAAAGAAAAAGGATATAAAAGATACAAAGAACCAAGAAAGAAAATATCATAGTGCATGACACTTTAAGCCTCCTATTTACAAACAAATTTGTGATGAAGTAACCATCAAAATTAGAAGTATAGAATAGCTAAAATTCAGTGAGGTGATGTTAGCACAAACTGTGAATTTTAATTAATATGAAGTACAAAATTTGAAAACATCTTCAAACAGGGGATGATTACAAAAATTAAGAAACATATTTAACACAAGACAACAGCCATAGGTTGGACAAACTATCCAGTGTTGTATTACCCCTAACAACATCAAAGGACAAAACAATATTGCAAGTCATGATGAAAAAAGTAAGATAAAATATCATAACTAAAACACTGTCAACGGAGATTGAATCATTGTACTTCAAACAGAGTTTAAAGTGAGATCTCTACAATACAAATAGTGAACAAACTCACCAACCATGAGAAGAACAAGTCCTAGTTTCTGTTAGGTTTGAAAAAAGTAATTTATGTACATATATACCTGCAACATGTAGTTGTGACTATTTTAAACCCAGTCAAATACAAAACAGAAACACAGATTCAATCCAATGTCAATCCTTTAACAAAAAGACAATCTTTTCTCAAGAAATATACTTCGTATTTTAGAGGTGCAGAAATTTCAATCAATATTAGCGACAAAAATTCAAATGTTTATTACACATGAAACAAATGGAAGATAAACATCATTAAAAGAACCCAATAGAAAGTTGAGTCGTTTGAACCCTCTGAAAGGAACCAAATATTCATATTTGTGATACACAAATAAAAAGAACGCAAAATGTCTTACCATAGAAAAAAGTTGCCAAGGACATCCTTTAAGGTGCATATATAAACTATTGGGCCATAACGGTTCATCCATGTTAGGAGAGATAAGAGAAATTGGGGTACCTCCAATGTGATCAATAAGAGAAACAGGGATACCTCTAAGGTTCATCCAAGATCCAAGCATTGCAACAACCAAATCAAAATTGTGTGGTATTAGTGAATCCTCACAAACAAATCAAGATCCATAGAACCATCACCTTTCATGTACATATAAAAAATCTCCAACCAAGATTATAATGAAGTTCTTATACATATTATAATGAAAGCAAAAGATATATCTGCATTGTATATTGCACTGAAATCATAAAGAATAGAGAAGAGAATGAATCAGAGAGACTAGAAATCATCCTGTACACACAATGAATAAGGAAACAACTTGGAATTGCAACCCAAATAAGTACCTCATTACTAAAACCAGTTAAAGTACCACATCGATCTGCAAAAGAAGAAGAAAAAAAAAATTAACAGCTTACACTAATCAATATCCAAGAAGAAAAGAGAAAACCAGAGTGAGAGAAAAATAATAGCATAAAACAACTATCACAATAATAATAATAAATAAATAAATAAATAAATAGTAGTAGTAGTAGAAGAAGAAGAAGAAGAAGAAGAAGAAGAAGAAGAAGAAGAAGAAGTGGTACTTGAGTGGATTTGATTCTTTTTGGAAGAACAGATCAGGTCTGGAGGGACCAATCTCATTGCAAATAAATAAAAATAAAAAAATCTGTAAAGTCCCCGCTACAATAGCAAATCAAAAAAAATATTGGGAAGCAATAATTCCAGCTAGAAGAAGAACTATTAGAAAAATTTGGTCGATTATATCAAATCAAATATGCAAACTATGAGAGAGAGAGAGAGAGAGAGAGAGAGAGAGAGAGAGAGAGTCCTCTCATTCTCAAACCATCGGAACATAGGTTTCGAGATCAAACCTGTTAGTTCTAAGAGGCTTCTTCTTCTTGAACCATGGGAACACCGAGATCGATTCAACGCAAATAGAGCACGAAATACAAGTTTTGAGATCAGATCCCTGTATTTCTAAGAGAAATTAGCGAAAACCCTAACAAGCTTTGAGTTCTCGAGATCAGGTTTCTAATCATACAAACCCCAAGCAGGAACAAGAAATTGATACATACAGATTTTAATAGATTAGCATGACAGAAATCGATCAAAAAACACGACAAAGTGAGATCAAAACAAACTCAATTTAATAGTTATGGTGAAGTGTAGAAATCGAACCAATAGTTTCAGAAAAGTTGGACTGAACTATAACTCCTCGCTTTCAAAGGCAAATCACAAACCAATTAGATAGAAATTGAAGAACACATCGATCCAAAGCCTAAATAAAACGATTATAGAGAAATCGAAGAAAAATCAACAGATCCAAACCCTAGACGCCATTCTTGCAAACTTACTCTCACTAAAAAGTAAAAACCCTCATCTCTCACTCACGGTTCTTTTTATGAGAGAGGAATTTTATAAAATATTTTTTTATCCGATATATAGAAAAACGTAACAGGCCTTCCTCTTCCTACGGGGTGACATGACGTTTTTTTTGAAAGAAGCACCACCTTTTCTGCAGCGTTTTTAAAAACGTTGTTATATAAGCGCCGGCATAACCAATATTTCTCGTAGTGATAAGAGATGATGGTGGTGGTGGTAGTGGCGGCGGTGGCGAAGGAGATTAGTGGTGAAGTTGTGGTAGTGGTAGAGTAGATGAAGTGGCAATGGTGAAAGAGAGGTAATGGCAGTAGTAGTGGTAGTAGTGGTAGTGGTGGTAGTGGAGTGGTG